AGTGAATATTCACATCTTTTATTTCGTATTTTCGTAAATTCATTAGCAATTCAAGAAAGATTATTCTACATTAATAATAATCAATCGCAACAGCGCTAACCAAGTTATTATGCAGCAGCGTATATACGTTATCATAATATTTTTCTATCTTATATGTTTTACTTATTATCTCGTTTCTTGGAACAACACTGATGATACCGAAAATTATTTTGGTCGAATGCGAATCAATTCGGTACCGTATTATAAAATACAATTTCTTTGATTAATCACTTTTGTGAACAATTAAAATAAACTCTCCATCATCAATAATGATCATTGGCAACAAACAAAATTTTCGGTCACAAATTGAAATCGTTTCACTATCTAGTTTTTCAAACATACATTTGACAATCGACGATTAATAGCTTCAATTTGAGCAATGAAAGAGTTATTGTTATTTTTTTACACCAACATTTATCAAATAATTGTTATCCTTGATCGCTGATAAAACAAGAAACTGATGCGAAAAAATGAGACAAGTAACAAAACTTACCAATGGCAGACGAATCTGGTTGACAATGGAGACGTAAAATAGGAAGGTCACGAGGTAGCTTCTGGTCAGGCTCATTTCGGCGAAAACTCCACAATATCCTTTCGATGTCGTTCTACAAATCCGAATACCATTTTAGAACGTGTCCGCTTCCTTATATAGGATCCATTTCACCCCGCGCAGGCGTCTCAACCCCCATAGCACACCTACACCGAATGTACCCTATTCACACCATCACTAACAGTCCTGTTAGTGAAATATGCAATATGCACGTATGCGGTGCACCGTGGCTGTAGATCTCGTCCTACGCTGATACACTATTCGGCCGGAACTAAAAAAAGCCTATCGAGGTAGAGAAAAGGATACGATTTTAAACCGCGACTCGGTTAATATACCGTGGATTATTGCGTGTCAGTCGAGGTAGACTTCGTCTTTCATTTTTGACCACGACGCCACGCTTTATTGGCACTCGTGACTGTTTCTTTTTGTCCTTTCAACAACAACAACAAGCACCGACGGTCCCGGTATTTTAAACAGCGCAATCACCGTGCTTATTTGTAACAATGAGATGCGCTATCATTAGATTTTCTTTGAATTGTCACGACTAGACTGCGGATATTCGCGCGAATTTTATATATCAAAATATGCACAATTTATGCAAAATTTATGTCAAATATATGCAAAAACTGTGTGAAATTTAAATCAAATTGATCGAAGACAGTACGCTATAATACAAAACAAACGGATATAGAATAATTGTATAAAATTTATCATTGCTTGTAATCTGCGCTATAATTTGCATTACAATAATCTGTGCTATGTCGTTAATTGTTAATTGGTGCCTTTTATCAGATAAAATAAAATTAAAATTAACATTATTATATGGTGAAAATGTTGTTTTAACATCACAACATGAGATGTAAGTAAACTTATACCCTTTTCAGTATCTTGTTCTCGTATCGTTTGAATCTTCAATATTTGAATCACTTGAAGTGTTTTTAAATTTAGATTATTTTTCGAATTCTACATTTTTCTGAAACATAAATATCTGTATTTTGCTTTCATTTATCGAATTAAAATTACTTACAATTAGTCGTTTAGAAGATAGTCAAAGAAATTTCAGAGTTTAAACTAAAGAAACTACTGTGTACAGTGAAATGCAACCGTAATAATGATTAGTTACTTTCTTCTAAATTACTCAAATTATGAATATTACTCAAGTTTCAGAGGTAGTGCGAAAAGGTCATTCTAACATCGGCATGACACTTTTCATTTAAAGTTCAATAAAAAGGCAACAAAAAATCGTGCATCAAAATTTATGGCTCCTTATAAAAGGGTGACTTCAGTTATAGACTTCAGTTAGAGACTTCAGACTGTAGAAGCTACAAGTTACATTTTTTCCAAGAAAAATGCTTTTTAACCTCGTAGCAACAGTTTCGAGTAAAAGAGACATTTTCACTTTACCGTCCGCATCTCAGTCCAAAGGCATCTTCCTAAAAAAAAAAACTTAAGAAAGAGAAAACAAAGATTTCACATGTTAAATTCACATAGACATATTAACTAATCTTTTCCACGAAAATAGAAGTATCCGCAATTTCTTATGCATGATTCAAAGATTGAATATATAAAATATTTAAATATGCGGAAATTCATTTGTTACATATTATACTTTACATTTTCTTTCTTTCTTTAATAATTTTAGTAGGACGAATATAATCCATTTTTTCCATTTTTCTAGCGTTTGAACGCTAGCAACTCCTCAGTTTTATTATAAATGCATAAAACCCGCAAATTAATATTATAAATCTTAACTTCTGGGTCTTTGCTTTATTAAATAAATCACATTGATATTTCGAGTTTCCATAGGTTTATGAACCATGAATTAAATGAATCAAAATCATTATATCAGTTAACGGCTGAGAACAATAATGATTATGTCTCGCTTGCTTTTCGAATAACTTTTTGTAAACTGAGAAAACTGTAAACAGAGCGTAAACGGTTACTGAGAAATTACATAAATGTCCGAACAAGTTGCTTACAAGAAAGAACAGTACTGAATGCTTAAACCTTTATCTTTCGAGTGTATGAGGTTTAAAATTGCACGCACCGGAAATCGAAGCTTTGATTTTGAAGTGTTAATACCATTTAAAGTGATCTTTTTTACATTTTTATTCTAACACTATTTTTTATCAAAGTGGCCTCTTGGTATTTTATTAGTGCTATAACGATTACAAATTGATTTGTTAAAAAGAAGTATATACCAAAATGATGCATGTAAGAAACTATGTTCACACGGTACTTTTTTCTCTCTGAACACATAATATACAAATTATAGCATTATAATTTTAATTATAATCATTATTGTTCAAAACTTATAAATGGTATTAGAAATTTCTCCATCAGGATTCTACGAAATAAATATTATATTTTCATACTACAATGGAATCCAAATATTATTCGGAATTCTCTTTGCAAATTAAGATTATAGAATTCGGAATATAATAATAATAAAGCGTATAAAAACTTTTTTGACTAACTGCAAGAGGCGCTTTGAATTTCGTGTATCGATCACGCAACCTGTAAGCACATCCCTGCTGACGGAAGACCCAGGCATCGTATTTTGATACTAGTTTCTTTGGGAATATACGATTTCAAACATAATTGAAAGCGTATCTCTCAGTTCGATCCAATAAGTGTAATGACACAAATAAAACGTGAAAACGATACATCATATTTTTATGCCAAAATGAATGAGACACTGGGTCTAAAAATAAAATTCGTTCCAAGAAGCGACTAACAAGAACGTAGGCAGTATCAGATATCGAGTTTAACTGAACTGTGCGGATTTACAAGCTTGTCAATTACAGATGTTTCTCTTACTTTTATGATGAGGGTCGAGAAATTACGAAATCATAAAACAGCGATCATTGAAAATATTATCTATTTTAACTATAATTAACGTGGTCAAAATAATGATTTTCTTCATTCCAAAGGCCCTGGAAAACGTTTTTTATGAAATCAATTTAAAAAATGTTCTCATAAAATAAATAATAGAAAAAATATTGCATTCTCTTTAAAAGATTGAAGGACCTTTACAAAAATATAACTGAGGATCATTTATAATTTTATCAATTAATTTAGTTCAACATATTTTCTAAGGTATTCCCTGTAGACACATTAGTTTTTCTACAAATCGTAATGGAACATACGAAAATATAAATTAATTGTCAAAAATTAAATAGTCAAATGATATTTATATTCTGAGTACAAATGAACCCGAGTCGCGTCGTCCAAGTGTTAAATTCGTTGAGTTCCTTTGTTTGTTTTCTATAAGGAAATCGTAACAAAAATGTGAGGTTCCGTTTAAAAATATATTGATGAAATTTTGTAAAACAATGATTTTAAGAAGACAGTCATTCCACTGTTCTATGTTCTATTTGAAATAGCGTAATTTTGTCCTGGGAAGTTACTTTGCACAAGAGTAAATGGATTTATTACAATCGATTAAGAACTTGTCCCATAATGGCTTGAATTATTTTGGCACGGTTCAATATAGAAAATATCAAAATAGCGTTTTGAAACGTGTCTGAATAGAACACTAACGAAATCTACAATTAATGCCGGAAGAAACTAGTCAATCTCATTCATTACGAACTGACGGTGGATAGCGGTGTCTGCAAATAGATATAGCTCTTGTACTAATCAGGTTTGGATGTATTTAATATTATTAGTAGTATAGTACCTAGTGGTAATACCAGGGATGTAAAACACATTAGTCTCCTACACAGCGTCTACAAAAACCAATAAAATCTAAGCAAGCAAAATCTATTTCATAAAACTAAACCTGATTAGTTAATTAAGATTTATGATATTAATTACTATTTTGAATCTCTTGTATTTTTCAGAACACAAGCTTTAATATACTCAATCCACCCATGTAAAAAATAACTTAATTCAAAGTTTAAATTAAGTTTCATCAAACAATTCTCCGTCATCTAATCGTGGGGGTGAAAGTAATAGTGGCATAACTCATATTTTTCTCATTGTGAGAAACAAGGAGCGTTATTGTTTATTGACATGTGTATTCTCTAATGACCAAATTTATTGTTAAGATAGTTTGTAATTAATTTACTTCATAATTTATTTCACTTGTTTTATTAACATTTAATGTGATTTACGCTCATATTTATGATTCTATAACCCACTCAATTGTATTTTCTTTTGACTCCGTCATACAATTAGTAATCCACTCGAAGTTTACTACTAAAATACTGGAAGATCTTTTGAAACGGAATAACTTTTCATATGTAAACCAAATGACTCGAATTCTTTTGAGACATTAGAAATTCTAGCTTACTAATATAACACATTTTTGTAAAAATTGCATTTCGTTGGAATGGCAAACGAAATAAAAACACGATGGTTTTTTTAAATTTTGTATAACTTATAAAAAAAGAAAATGTAAAAGATATTCAAGTTTCTTATAATTATAGGTAAAAGGTCGTGAAATATTGCGACGATAATATCGAAGATGAAGGAAAGGAAACAAATTTTGGAAGACTAAATAATTGTTCTTTATTTGTTATTTTTACAATGTGGTATTACAATTAAGCATTTGTAACTACCAAGAAATGTCCCCTACAAAACAAAGTAGGCTACATTGGGGACCGTAGTAATGAGGGTGATGGTGGAGATACGAATATTGTAGATATTATATAAAATTTCGAGTAGGTATTCTTTTGAAAAATATAATTTTCGTTACTACACACACACATTATCTTTCCACATTATCTTTTCGCAAATGCTAATAAAGCTATTAGATGTTGTGCTATATTCTGTACCTTCAAATTAATTATGAACAGATACGAAATGCCAAATCCATTCTTTCCAATGTAATCCCAAACTATTCCCAGCATTTCATTGCTTCAAGAACTTCTTATTAATATATTACGAACTAAAAAGCGACTTGTTTGCATTACTTTTCTAATTTTTATATACAATTCTCGTTTCTTATTCGTTTCGTATTTAATATGATTTTTCATTCGTCGAGAGTAATTTTCTTTCGTCTTCTTCTTCACATGTTTTCGCACTAGTACAAGTAACTACTAGA